CAGAGGTATTGTCAGACTCATTGTATCTTTGTCAGAAGTAGGTGAGGTTTCAGTACAAAGTCATACATGGGGTATTCAAAGGATATCAAGTAGTCATAGAGCGATGCAGAGATGGACACATGTTCAAAAACACTCCATACTCTGGCCAGTTCTTTAAATAAATATTTTATTGTTGTTGAAAATAAATACATTTTCTTAAAATATAATCAATAACATTAAAAAAGCCTTTGGGGGTTGGGAGGTGGGGGGAGGGTTACCCCCAAATGAAGTGGTGCAATTTGAAACAAGGATTTTACAATACAATCTCACAAATGTATCCACCATTTTAAGACTTCAGTACCTACAATGCATTCCGTTCTGCTGTACATTCTCAGTGGATGTGTGGAAAAGTGGTGACATCACATCTCTTTTCACAATGTTCACATGAAATCTACTAGGTCTTAAAGCTTCAGGCCTGTCCTGTACCCATACCCTTGGTATAATGAGACTGTTTGTTAGCCTGGGTAAACCAGACTGAATGCTGCACTTAATGGTTTGCCCAGCATTCAGGCTGGCTCATTCAAGGGGTTTTCTTAATTTTTTACTATTTTCTACATTGTAGAATAATAGTGAAGACATCAAAACTATGAAATAACACATATGGAATGATGTAGTAACCAAAAAAGTGTTAAACAAATCAAAATATATATTTTATTTAAGATTCTTCAAATAGCCACCCTTTGCCTTGATAACAGCTTTGCACACTCTTGGCATTCTCTCAACCAGCTTCATGAGGTAGTCACCTGGAATGCATTTCAATTAACAGGTGTGCCTTCTTAAAGCTTTGGATAAAAGCATCTGCTAAATGGCATATTATTAAAAGTTAATTTGTGGAATTTCTTAATGCGTTTGAACCAATCAGCTAAGTCCATATTATGTCAAGAACAGCTCAAATAGGCAAAGAGAAACGACAGTCCATCATTACTTTAAGACATGAAGGTCAGTCAATACGGAACATTTCAAGAACTTTGAAAGTGCAGTTGCAAAACCATCAAGCGTTATTATGAAACTGGCTCTCATGAGGACTGCCACAGGAATGGAAGACCCAGAGTAACCTCTGCTGCAGAGGATACGTTCATGAGAGTTACCAGCCTCAGAAATTGCAGCCCAAATAAATGCTTCACAGAGTTCAAGTAACAGACACATCTCAACATAAACTGTTCAGATGAGACTGTGTGAATCAGGCCTTCATGGTCGAATTGCTGTAAAGAAACCACTACTAAAGGACACCAATAAGAAGAAGAGACTTGCTTGGGCCAAGAAACACGAGCAATGGACATGAAACTGGTGGAAATTTGGAGTCCATATTGGAGATTTTTGGTTCCAACCGTTGTGACTTTGTGAGACACGGTGTGGGTGAACTGATGATCTCTGTATGTGTATTTCCCACCATAAAGCATGGAGGAGGAGGTGTGGGAGTGCTTTACTAGTGACACTGTCTGTGATTTATTTAGAATTCAAGGCACACTTAACCAGCATGGCTACCACACACAGCATTCTGCAACGATACACCATCCCATCTGGTTTAGGCTTAGTGGGACTATCATTTGTTTTTCAACAGGACAATGACCCAACACACCTCCAGGCTGTGTAAGGGCTATTTTACCAAGAAGGAGATTGATGGAGTGCTGCATCAGATGACCTGGTCTCCACAATCCCCCGACCTCAACCAAATTGAGATGGTTTGGGATGAGTCGGATGGCAGAGTGAAGGAAAAGCAGCCAACAAGTGCTCAGCATATGTGGGAGCTCCTTCAAGACTGTTGGAAAAACATTCCAGGTGAAGCTGGTTGAGAGAATGCAAAGAGTGTGCAAAGATGTCATCAAGGCAAAGGGTGGCTATTTGAAGAATCTTAAATATAAAATATATTTTGATTTGTTTAACACTTTTTTGGTTACTACATGATTCCATAGTTTTGATGTCTTCACTATTATTCTACAATGTAGAAAATAGTAAAAATAAAGAAAAACCCTTGAATGAGTAGGTGTTCTAAAACTTTTGACCGGTAGTGTATTTCAACACTCCCATTTGTCAAATGGATGATAAACCATAATCTGTTGTCAACATCAGCCATTCATAACAATTACATCTGACAATGTTTTTTGAAAAGTACCTTAATTATGTCAACTTTACCTCTATTCTACAGTACAAAGACACCATACACTAGAAGTCTGAAATATTATTGATATAGTTGTAATCAAAAGACTTTGAGAGGCTACTACCTCTCTAAGGCTTAAAATACTAATACTAATATTATTTTCAGATCGTAATAGATTATTTTTTCATAAGGGGTTGTGAAACTGCCCTTAATAGCCTGGTCCCAGATCTAAGACCAAGTTATCCATAAATAGCCTGGTAACAAATAACCGACCACAGGAAATTACCTGATATGGTTGGCGTTTCGGCCTTTGCAATGATGAGTGTACTTTCTGTTGTCCATTGTTTGTTTGTGCTCAGAGCTCTGCAATATGGCAGGTCTCCAGGAGGGAGACAGGGTTAAGAGTAGCCTGGAATCCAAACTGAATATTTTCACTTTTTTTCACTGATTCAGTGGAGTGAAGCCATAGTGAAATAGAGCGATATTCCCTTTGGATTCCAGGCTAGAAAAAGAGCTGAGAGACCAGTGAGTGTAGCTCTAGTATTGGAACAGATTACCACAACTCGTGCATTACAGAGGGAAGCGTTCCCCTTCCCCCAATCCTCTCTTCAACCTCACTGCTCCTCCAACCTCTCTGTTCTGACATCTCCACAAATAGCTCAACAACAGAACAGGACAGGAAGTTCTTGTACTAGTCACTGGAGCAAAGCAGTAACCTTGCCAAAACCTCATTATGCACAGTGGGCAGGGGGAAAAAACACTGCACCACCACAGAAAGAGAACGTTTTCTAATAACCAAGGCTGCGTCCAAAATGGCACCCTATTCCCTATATAGTGCACACTACTTTTGAGTGTCAAGTTTTCTAATTACCAAGTCATTGGGGCTGTGATGCTGGATGACCTCAATTAAGACAAGCGTGTGTGAACGGGTAATTTAAATCTAATCAGGAGAGAACCAGTCGAGTAAACTAATCTATGGAAACAGCAACCAACCTGTGTGTGCGTGAGCGCATGTCTGTGTGTGTGTTGCTCTGCAATGTTGGGTTTGGGCCTTTGGTAATGAAATCAATGCCACCGGTAAAGAGAGGTAGCTTTAAACAATGATTAAACCAACCAAGCACTACTGGAGTAGTGCCTAGCACTATGCTGTGTCCAGACTGGACTAATGAACGTTGTCCACAGACAGTTAAAGGCAGTTGAAGCAGCCTCCACTGTCCTAGCCTACATACACAGTCAGCACATTGGCCAAGGTTATGTCAGAGGACCAAACTCAGCCACTACCCTCAAGAATTACCTGGCAGGCTGCACACACAAGATGTTCACAGAGGGGCAAATCCTAAATCCTACTTAAGTCAAATGTTCACTTGGTCTCCCATTGACATCAATGCATGACTAAGTAAAAATTCAGTGAAGGTTAGGATTCACCCCAGATAGAGCACTAGGTTACTGCACTTCTCACAATCCAACACTTTGTGTTTACGTCTTTTAACTGTCAGTGCTGTTCAAAGTCTAAAGTGAGCTATATGACTCAGAGAATGACCTGCGACTGACTAGAGAGGTTCTGGTTTCCCCCCTGCCTTGCCTTCTGTGCCACACTCACAGATATTGTATATAGAGTAAATAGCCCGCTGTTATGTTGTGTGTTGTTCCTTAAATACTATTCAGTGTATTCCCTTGCCCCGAGGTCCACCAGTAGAGGTACTGTGTAAAGTAGTCATTGAGACTCCACTGAAATAGAGCATCTAGCTGTTTGACTGTAGAAGCTGACCCTCAGTGTTCAGAGCAGTATTTTAAGACAGGCGTGGTGTGTTTGCTGTTCTCTTGCTATAGAGATGCTACTCTGTATGTGCCGCACTACTTCACCAGTGATTTGATCAGCAGCAGGAAATAGAGAAACTGTGGACATGTACGATTCAAGGAAACTTAAGTTTTAATGATAAATAGAATGTTGTTCTGATTATGTCATCAGATGATGTCATGGAGAGGAACCAGATCGCCAGGGTAACACAGTTAATTCCCAAACAATCAGAGACTCATAAACCCCCACCACCCAACAAAATCTAACCCCATTGGCCCATTCTCTCTCAGGCTCTTACTAAAGGAAATGTTAAGGTAACGAGGAAGGAATCCTCCAAGCCTGTTTTGAAGAACCAGCCTTCAACATACACACAATATAGTTAGGCATCTTTTTAAACAACTATTTCCCCCCCCCAACAGGCTTCATAATCAGATGACCAACTTTTTTAACAACTCAATTTGTCAAATGTCCGCTAGCAACTTGGTGGGGTAAATTCATAAATAAATACATTTCTAAAAGCCATAAATCGAATCTAGTAGTCTCGGGTGAAGCTAGTTTTTGTATTGTCTCAGCTTGTCTGTCTCGTCTTTCCGTCCTGCTGAATGAGTCTACATTCATCCCTCAGGCCTCAGCACACACAGTGAGACTAGGACATGGGTGGCAGCCCAGAGGCAGGACGGTAGGCAGTACAGAATCGTCAGAGGCCACTGTGTCAGAGAGACCGTCACCCTGTGGCCGAATTGACTGAGCTCAGATCTCACGACACTGATGCTGACCAGCCTGATGCAGAGGAAGCTTTTGTTTCCTCTCCTCTCTTTCTGTCCTTATAATTCATTTTAAACCAACAGGTAGGCCTACTATTCACAGGTAGGTCAGTGTGTTCTGTAGACCTACTATACATGGTCACAGATAGATAGCCTAAACTCACACACAGAGAACAGAAACAATAATCGGTTTGTCTCCTCTTGTCTGTGCTGCTGTGGCTAGTCTAGTCTGTGGTTCAGTCTTTCCCGGGCGCCAGCCTGTTTTTACAGCGTCTTTCTTCATCTGGCTGTTGTGTATCTCTCAGCAGCTCACGGTGCTCGGCTGCTGTTTCATTGAAACAAAGTCTGGGATGAAGTCAAACTCGTTCTGACCCAGGAACAGTTCTGGGAGCTCCTGAACCCGGTCCAGACCCAGCTCCAACACCAGCGCTGTCAGAACCTCCTCATCTATCAGGTCTATGTCCATATTCTGTCCCAGCACCATACCTGGCCCACCCTGACCCATGTGCTGCATGCTGGCCAGCTGGCCTGGCCCTACTCTGTACTGGGCCCCGTTGGCCAGGTGATGGCCCTGGACCGGCCCCAGTGGATGTCCATGGTACTGGGTGTTGAGTTTCTGGAGGTGCATGGAGGCCATGAGCTGCTGGGAGGTGAGCCCACTGGGGTGGTACTGTTGCTGGGGGTGCTGGGGTTGAGACTGGGGGTGCTGCTGCTGCTGCATGTGGTGGTGCTGCTGTTGTTGTTGTTGTTGATGTTGTTGTTGATGCTGTTGGTTATACATCATTTGGTTCATCTGGTGGTGGTGTCCTCCCATCTGAGCTCCGCTGACCTGGCTGTTCACCTGACCGTTCATCCCAGCCGGCCCCACCATCCCCAGGCCGGGTCGCTGCCTCATGGCGGCCTCCATGGAGGTCTGAGGCACCCGGCCGTAGTGCATGACCTGGCCGTTGGGGAGGGTGCGGAGACCGGGTTGCGGCACGGCGTGCTGTGGAGGGCCACCCATTCCCCCCATCCTGTAGCCGTGGAGGGCCGTCGCAGGGCCGTGGGACATGGGCATCATCATGTGGTCTGCCATGGCTTCTCTGTCACCCTGCAGGAGGAAGGACAATGTTTATGTTAGTTATGATGATGACTCCGTATAAGACCATTCACATGGAAATCTTTACTGTCACCCTGCGGAGGAGGAGGAGCAATGTTGATGTTGGTGGTGCTTCAGTCCAGAGCCTTCTAGTTGCAAAAAAATCAGGTGTGCTAGAAGTGGAATAGATGAATCAGTGGATTGATTGGTGTTTTTCGAAGAGAGGTTTGGAAAACACTGATAAACATACAGTAGGGGCGGTAGGTAGCCTAGCGGTTAAGAGCACTGGGTCAGTAACCGAAAGATCGCTGGTTGGAATCCCCGAGCCAACAAGGTGGAAAACTCTTCTGTTCTGCCCTTGAGCAAGGCAGCACCTCCCGCACCTTTCTGATTCAGAGGGGTTGGGTTAAATGTGGAAGACACATTTCGGTTGAATGCATTCAGTTGTACAACTGACTAGGTATCTTCCTACATCACCAGATCAATCTGAGGGACACAGCCCCCTGAGAACATAACATTCCCAATACAACCCTATACCATGACTGTTCTTTTAACAGTGAGTGATTCCATAGAGATAGACAGTGTACTATGAATGATTCAAACAATGTTGAGTCATTAATCTATTCAGATGACGTTGAGGGAACGTTTACACTTTCGATTGTTTGACCATCATTTCGACCACAGCAACATTACGCGTAGCCTACTGCCTGTATCCACTGCCAGTATGTAGCCTATTGCACGCTCGGGAAATACCAGTCATACCTTTGTCGTTGAAAGGACGCAGAGGAGCTCATGTCGAATTTTAATCGGTTGTTACATAGTAATAAATAAGGTACTACATGCACTATGATAGTGAGAGCATCCGCGCGAAAGGAAACCAACGTTTACAAACATTTCGTTAGGCACAAGCAGTGACAAATGGACAAGATGGTCATTACGATTTGTACTTATGGGAAAATACAATGGAAAGAAAAATGAAAGACAATACCCATACGTTTTATTCATTCAGAACGGAATCTATATTTGTGCATCTCCATAACACCAGAGTTAAAATGGCACAACAACGCATAATTTTCCCACGCACAATTACGCAAGGTAAAACAATTAATTACATTCTTAATAGCGTACGTGTCTCGTATCACTGCATGAACACAATATGATGGTGCATCCCTTGGATACCATAGGAGTGTGGCTCTGTACGTGTCTCTGTCTTTTCACTGTCTGCTTGAAAACAAAGAATTTCGTGTTTCTTTCTTCTCTTTTCCCCAAAGAGGAACTCCAGTGCCCCTGGCGCTCAGGTTTCCGTTCAAACCTCTTTGTGCTCTATCAATAAAAAAAACTACGAACCGATTCAATATTGTTTCTAAAACCACAGTCATTTAGAGAGAAAACAAAGTGGATGGGTATTGTCAACAGCCGAACAAAATCCATACATTTGCGTTTGGGCTATGCAAGCGTAAACGTTAAGGCATGTTAACATTCATTCCGTCTATGCCACATTTTGCAAAAGGCTAAAAGGGGAGCAACAAAGAATGATCGAGGTATTTTCTTGTAGGCTAATTATTACATTTACATTTTAGTCATTTAGCAGACGCTCTCAATATATCTAAATTCTAACACTTCATTTTACTCGTGTAGTCTTGGGATTTGCATAGGGCCCAGATTTCAATTAACAGTAAATACTTTTGATACCACATTACAACAAAAAATATAATCCGGTTTAAATAAACTCGTTTTGGCAATATATACAGTTCCATCGTTTAGTCATTTTTCATACAGTATCACTATGCACTATCGCCGGCATCTGAACAATCGGTAATGTAAGAAACCGCAAATAAAACGAAATAAAACGAACAATGGTTCTCCTACCTTCCCTCAGTAATAGGACAGTCTCTGTCTCTCTCTCTGCAAGAATGGCCCCCAAACAAGACAACACTTACCAGCAAAATGTCCCTGCTCTGAAGTTCTCGAGTTCTCTTTCTGCTATTGGATCTCTGTCTTTACTTCCAAAGGCGATGCACCAAATACATGTATTTCATCGAATTAAAACGATCGGTGCTCTCTAGTGCACTGTTAGGCGAGCGAGAGTCCGTCACCAGAGTTACTTTTCTGGGTCAGCTCCGGGATTATATACATGTATAAACCAACCAGCGGAGATAGAAAGAGGGAGAGGTGGAGCTACTGTCGTCTCTGTATCCTTTGTTCCGATTGGCTCGCCTTGTGACCCTAGTACAGACTTGGCGCACGTTGGACAATTCATTACTGCTACTGACATGTTCTTAAATGTTGGCGTTAGGTAGGCTACGACTCCTTTGTATAACATGCACTTGTTGTGGCCTCATACATTTTGTAGCCTACTAGGGGACAATTATGGTAGCTAGTAAAGGATATGGTGTCAACAGTGGCCCCGTGTAGCTCAGTTGGTAGAGCATGGCGTTTGCAACGCCAGGGTTGTGGGTTCGATTCCCACGGGGGGCCAGTATGAAAATGAATGCACTCACTAACTGTAAATCGCTCTGGATAAGAGCATCTGCTAAATGACTAAAATGTAAATGTAGAGCAGAGAGTGTGTTGTACAAACCTCCCAATAGGCTACTATATTGTTATGACACTGGTATGTATGTCAACAATAATCATTTTCATATCCATAATAATTTCATCAACAAATAGCCTATATACTAGACATGTAATTCATGTTTTACAAATCAAATCAACATTCTCCATGTTACAAATTAGAGTCCGGTTTCATTGAGGCCTACAGTATGTTTTCGAATTACAATATGAATGACTAATTACTAATTCATTTCACTATTCATTTCAGATTACAGTCACAGAATCAATCAGAGCTAGCTATTAGAGACAGACAACGGTAGGCTCTGGTGCATGCTATGCAAATGTTTTGTTGCAGAGATAAATAGCCTGGTGATACATATGCATGTGAACACCAACCTCCCCAGAGAGAGAGAGCCTGCTGGCATGAAGCTGGTGCTAATGACATGACACCACATTCAGCTCAGTGCACCATGGTTGAACAGAAACAGAAACCATAGAAGAAGATGGTTGAACAGAAACCATAGAAGTAGAGGGTGACTGTCTAACTTACAGGCACAATGATTGCTGGGTGCTCATTCTCTTTCCCTCTCTCCTTCTCCTTCTCTTTCACTCTCTCCCTCCCTCTGTTCACACAGCGATTGATGCACGTACTCCCGTCATCATAACTCACTTCTCTTATACCACAGTGGAGAGACCAGAGAGTCAAGACCTCTCTGCAGGGGCCTGGCTTCTACTGATGTTTACACACACACACACACACACACACACACACACACACACACACACACACACACACACCCTTTTGTGCTGAAGAATGTGTCCTATTCTTGGGCCCCAGAGTCGGCCAGACTCTCAGCCTCTCTGTCTATTCAGCAGCTAGGCCATTGTGCTCTGTTCTGTTCTAGGGCTGAGGAGACAACACTGAGGAGGATGGTCTACTCTACTCTAATCTGTCTGTTTGGATGCACCATAACTAGCTCAGTAGATTTAAAGGGAGTGCCCTCTTCTAAACTGACAATGTCATTATTTACAATGCAAATTAATGCTCCACCCCATCCCCCGACTGAGTCAAACACCCTACTGTCTATGGCCAGATCTGCAAGGTCTAGTACTGACACAGGGCCTTTTACACTATCAACCTACTAGTATATCTGCACTTGATATGTTGAAGCAAATCAAAATGTATTTGTTATGTAGCATGTGACAAGTAACATTTGATTTGATTTCCACAGATATGTCCAAATATGGCAACTTATTTGGAGGCAGGTTTTTTTGAATGAAACTTTTTTTGTTTTTGATTGTCTATTGACCTCAGTGTTGTAATCGATTGAGTCCAATGTGAGTTTTACACTACCAGTCAAAAGTTTAAGAACACCTACTCATTCAAGGGTTTTTCTTTATTTTTACGATGTTCTACATTGTAGAATAAATACTGAAGACATCAAAACTATGAAATAACACATATGGAATCATGTAGTAATCAAAAAATCTAAAAAATATTTTATGTTTGAGATTCTTCAAATAGCCACCCTTTGCCTTGATCACTGCACCTGTACACAGCCCTTCTGAAATTAGCCCACCCAACTACCTCATCCCCATATTGTTATTTATTTTGCTCATTTGCACCCCAGTATCTCTATTTGCACATCATCTCTTGCACATCTATCATTCCAGTATTAATACTAATTGTAATTATTTTGCACTATGGCCTATTTATTGCCTTACCTCCATAACTTGCTACATTTGCACACACTGTATATATATTTTCTGTTGTATTTTTGACTTTATGTTTTGTTTTACCTCATATGTAACTCTGTGTTGTTGTTTTTATCGCACTGCTTTGCTTTATCTTGGCCAGGTCGCAGTTGTAAATGAGAACTTGTTCTCAACTGGCTTACCTGGTTAAATAAAGGTGAAAAAAAAAAAAAGACAGCTTTATGATTCCATATGAGTTATTTCATAGTTTTGATGTCTTCCCTATTGTCCTACAATGTAGAAAATAGTAAAAAATAAAGAAACCTACAAATTGGGGGCCTGTGGCCTGAGTTTAGTGTCTTTTCACAGGTGTTGAGGGGAGAAACATTTGTCATCCCGTTCCCTGTTGATTGGCTGAATGGTGTCAAGTCAAGTGTGGATTAGCATGTACTGCTGGAACCTGCCTGGGCTGCATGGCGTAATAACCTGGTAAATTTAGACTCTTATTAATTTGGCCTCGTCTTGTCTTCTGAGGATTGTAGTGGATCCAATCAGAGCAAAGAAACTAAAATATCAAGAAGCTCAAAATCTCACATTCAGACAATTCATGTTATTTTGGTTTACAATAAATAATTAAATTGTGAATTATTAAATTGTGAAAACCTACAATCTGTTTCATATCTATTTTGAATACATCAGATTGTAACATATTTTCTATATACTTTTATAAGTAAGCATTCTCGCAATGC